TTATCCAACCTTCACTTATCCGGCAATCCGTCTTATCCGACGCCCCTTTTTTCCTCCAGCATTTCCCCTTCAATGAAAGGAGCGCTCCCTAACTCTCTTCTCCATTCCCAATCAGGCAAAACAAGGAGGAGGAGGGAAGAAAGGAGGAAAAGAGGCAGAACCGGAAGCGGAAACATCCTCCCTCCTTCCCTCTGTGATTCCCACGCTCCTCTTCCGCATTATCCGGGCGTTTCCTGCTGGGCCGCTCTAACACTTTCAGTCCCTCTTGCCTTAACACTTTCAGTGCCTCTTGTTAGTATTCTAGGTAGGAGACACGGTATTATCTGATATTTTTGTTTATCTGACATTCAGCCGGCACATTGATGTCGGATAAGCGAGACTCTACTGCAGGCATAAGCAAAAAATTTTGCCTTGGGGCCACATTGTGGGTCTGACTGAGAGCCGGGCCGGGAGGGAAGGTGGTCGGGCACATGCTGGGTGAGACGGGCCTGGGAGGGAAAGAGCCTAACCAAGATCATCTTCAGATTGTCCTCCTGGCATAAGGATGAGGCTGCTTGTCCCATCCTTATGCCAGGAGGAAAACGAGACACGTTGCGACTGCCCTGATCCTCCTCCCCGATCTTTTGGCTGTCCTCCCCGCATTTTGCCAGAAGGATGGTGAGACATGCTACAGCCGAGAGCACGATAGGACACTCAGCCACTGCTTGCCTTCCTCGGGTCGTCCTCCTGGCATAAGGACGGGGCTGCTTGTCTCATCCTTATGCCAGGAGGAAAACGAGACATGTTGCGACTGCCCTGATCCTCCTCCCTGATCTTTCGGCTGTCCTCCCCGCATTTTGCCAGGAGGACGGTGAGACGTGCTACAGCCGAGATCACTCTGGAGGAATCTCAGCCACTACTTGCCTTCCTCGGGCCGTCCTATCGGCTTAAGGATGGGGCTGCTTGCCCCATCCTTATGCCAGGAGGAAAAACGAGACATGTGGTGACTGCCCTGATCCTCCTCCTCGATCTTCCTCACTGATCTTTCAGCTGTCCTTCCGACATTTTGACAGGAGGACGGTGAGACGTGCTACAGCCGAGATCACTCTGGAGGACTCTCAGCCACTGCTTGCTTTCCGTGGGCTGTCCTCCTGGCATAAGGATGGGGGCTGCTTGTCCCATCCTTATGCCAGGAGGAAAACGAGGCATGTGGTGACTGCCCTGATCCTCCTCCCAGATCTTCCTCACTGATCTTTCTGCTGTCCTTCCGGCATTTTGCCATGAGGACAGTGAGACAAGCTACAGCTGACAGCACTCCAGGGGACTCTCAGCCACTGCTTGCCTTCCTCGGGCCGTCCTCCTGGCATAAGGATGGGGCTGCCAGGAGGAAAACAAGACATGTGGCAACTGCCCTGATCCTCCTTCCCGATCTTCCTTCCCCGATCTTTGGGCTGTCCTCCCAACAATTTGACAGGAGAATGGTGAGGCAAGTTAAAGCTTCCTCGGGCCGTCCTCCTGGCATGAGGATGGGGCTGCTTGTCCCATCCTTATGCCAGGAGGAAAACGAGACATGTTGTGACTGCCCTGATCCTCCTCCCCGATCTTTTGGATGTCTTCCCCGCATTTTTCCAGGAGGACGGTAAGACATGCTACAGCCGAGAGTACGGTGGAGGACACTCAGCCACTGCTTGCCTTCTTCGGGCCGTCCTCCTGGCATAAGGATGGGGCTGCTTGTCCCATCCTTATGCCAGGAGGAAAACAAGACATGTGGCGACTGCCCAGATCCTCCTCCCCGATCCTCCACCCCTGATCTTCGGACTGTCCTCCTGGCATTTTGCTGCCCTGATCCTCCTCCTCGATCCTCCTCTCCCAATCTTTGGGCTGTCCTCATTTTCCCAGGACGACGGTGAGACAAGCTGCAGCCAAGAGCACTCCGAAGGTCTCTCAGCCACCGCTTGCCTTCCTTGGGCCGTCGTCTCGGCATAAGGATGGGGCTGCTTGCACCTCCTTAGGCCGGAGTGGGGGTGAGACATGTGGTAGCTGAGAGTGCTCCAGAGAACTTTCAGTTGCTGCGTGCCTTCTTCCCTTGTTCTTTCTGCCTATGGATGTGTTCTTATGATGAGAGGACAGAGAAAACTAGAGGGCCTGAGGGAAGTGCTCAGGGGGCTGCATCTGGCCCCAATGCCTTCAGATGGATGGCCATCTGTCAGGGGTGATTTGAATGCAATATTCCTGCTTCTTGGCAGAATGGGGTTGGACTGGATGGCCCAGGAGGTCTCTTCCAACTCTTTCATTCTATGATTCTATGATTTGCCCATGCCTGTTCTACTGTATTAGCAAGACTCTGCTTTGCGCACACAACTGGGAGAACATTCATCCTTGAAGTTGTGATTTTTAATCATTTTACGAATCCAGTGTTATCCATTTCCAAACAAGTTACATTTCCTTCATCAACGCCTTTCAACAGACTGATGGGGATCCCAAATTTTGCTTGACTTCTTCCAACTCTGAAACCTGGATTTTGTGAAGAACATTATCCTGGATTCTCTTTCAAAATGTGGCAGAATCTTTCCCATACCTATTTCTGTAAATGCCAGAGAACGCATTAATCTGTCTTATTTTGCCTTTGGAGGTGTTCCCATTGAGTACACACTCCTGTTCATTTCGGTTCTCGGAAAGTGAATGACTTTTTGGGGCAAACGAGGAGCTGCCTTGAGAAACTGGGCCAAAATCCCTTCGCTGCTCGAGATCTCGTGTCCCTCGTTCTTTACAAAAGGAGATATAAAAGCTTTCAAACACAACAGTTATTTAAGAAGGATAACTGTTTCGTTTCCCCTGTTAGGACACCCACGCGCTTGAATTAACCAGCTCTGGTTAAAATGGATATGTAGAAAAACACCTTTGTCAAACCCACCAGGATCAACCCCTCCACACTGTCATTCTGGTCAAATGACAGGGAGAGAGATGTGTGTTCCTGGGAGGAAGAAGTGTCCATTGGTTAATCGGGTTATTCCAAGATACTTCCAGTCGAGCAGCGGAGAGCTACTTGCAAAGTCCTTTGGTTTGAGAAATCGCGCTCCTCAGAGAAGCCGCCTATAAACAAGGCTCTTAAAATACTGCATCGTTCATTCCGCAGGACGTCGAGAAGGTGGTTCAGTGCAAACGTGTGCCGCGACGAGGATCTCCCGCCTCAGCAGGAGCAGTTCCCGCAGCCCTTGACGCTGTTGATGATCTCCTCCTGCAGCTTCCGGCGGTCCTCCTCCTTGGAGGAGAGGCCGCCCCGCTCCTCCCACCGCTCCTGGGGGTCCCTGCTCAGCATCCGGCTGCTCTGCGTGTGCCACATCTCGTAGTAGAGGCTGCCGGGGAGCCGCAACAGATCGACGTGCCTGCCACGCTCCGCCACTTGGCCCTGTTTGAGGAAAAAACAAAATCGGTGATCAAATGCG